GCTGGTTTCTGGGGGTTTTTTTAGCTTCTTATTTGCAACATAGTACATAGTTACTTAGAGTTGCAACTCAGAGGCCAGCAAGTGTTGGAGTCCGCAGTCACTGAAGCAAGCAAACCTCCCTGCTCCCTTCAGTGCATGGCTGCCGACCGCCATCTTGGCTGACAGTTAATTTGCATAAGGATACGCTGATTAGCCAATGGGAAGGGTAGCGGTCGTACGCCAATTACCATGTTTCTCTTTTATTAGTGTAGATATATATATATATATTAAATAATTGATTTGAGAGAAAGGGGAAGAGAGAGATAGAAACATCAATTATGAGAATCATTGATCAGCTGCCTCCTGCATGCCCCTGGATTGAGGAGAATCATTGATCAGCTGCCTCCTGCACGCCCCCTCTGGATTGAGCCCGCAACCTGGGCATGTGCCTTGACCTAGAATCAAACTGGTTCATAGGTGGACGCTCAACTACTGAGCCACACTGGCTGGGTTCTCTGAGGCCTCTTTTATAACATCATGATCTAATCACCTCCCAAAGGACCCACCTCCAAATACCATCACGTGTTAGGATTTAACATGTGAATTTGGCGGAGGGACAGACGCAAACATTCGGTTTACAGAAGGCCCCCAACCTTTCTAAGTCTGAGGAGGCCCCCCTCACACATGTGAACCAAACCCCTGCAGCCTTACCCTGGCCAGTGCCTCCTCAATGGTGATCATCTTCTCCTTGACCATCATCATCAGCTGAATCCGCTCTTCATCGCTCATTGTTATCTCGCTTGCAACATAGCCCACATCTTCTCCTAGAGATCGGAGATAAGAGACAATAGGAATGAAAACAAGAAAGGTAATCAGAATGCCAAGCTTGAAAGTGCATCATTCAAAAATAAGGCAGACTGTGAGCACATCCAGTGACGTCCATCCCTGACGGAGCAGCAGGAGCAGTCATGGGCTGTTCCGTAGGATGCCAATGAGCCCGTCTCATTGGGAAACAGGTACCCAGAACATATGGATGTTACCATGAAACAAATCAGAGCATTTGTGACGTGGGGTCTAGTGAAGGAGTTTTGGGAGAAAGCCCACAGGGAGCAAGAGGTGGGCAGAGACCTAAATTCAAGACCCAGCGACAGCAGACAAGCAGCCTCAGCCCCTTCGGCTGAGGGTCCCCTATGTCCTCCTATTATGAATATGAACGAGAAGAAAATATTTTGGGGAAAAGTGGGAGAGAGCTCACAGAGAAAGGTCACAGAGCCAGCTGCGGTGCGGCCTGAGAGACCCTGGACTCCTGCTACGCTACCTGAGGGCTATTCCTCCGAAAATCAGTACAATAAGTACCACGGATGGGAAGTGTCCTGGGGTCCTTGGAAGGAAGGTACCGTGCATGTACACATCTGAGCGTGTTATTGGCATAAACATTCCCAAACTGTGAGGAGGACTCAACTTCCACCTGGAACCTGAAGGCAGCCAGAGCTGCAGAGGAAAACAACCGTTCGGTTACTTCGAGAGTGTTTTCCTACAAAGCAAACAGACTGCCGGCGCCTCTGATGCATGTGAGCCACGTTGGCGCGTGTCCCTCTGGCCAGCGGGTGGGTAGAGAAGTGTGAGTGGAAGTGGCTGTAAGAGGCACGCTGGGAATAAGCCCTCCGTCTAGTCCCTCATCTTTCTCCGTCTGCCCCGTCTGCCCCACACATGCCTCACTAGCCTCGGAGTCGTTAGGAGGCTCGGCTACGGCTTAATTCGCCCTTTGGTGGAAGGGGCAGGGGCTCAGAGGCTGGCTGCACACTTGTAGGATCCCTTCCGTCAGGACCTGCCCTGGAATTTATGTTCCCCTGAGTCTCCCCATCTCATTTCCATTTCGTAATCCATCAGTCCAGAGGCAGCACTCAAGTTCCCTTTGCCACTCGCCCCCTTGCAGGGGGAGGATAATAGTGTCCGGGGCGGGCGGAAAGCCTGCTGGCTTGATTCATTTTCCTATCTGTGTCACCTCCAGGGGTGGAGGGGGTGACGGCCAGTTGGTTGGCTCTTAAAATAAATCTACTCGAGCCGGTTAACTGCCCGCTCCTGCCCTTCATACCTCCATCCCCGTCTCTCTCGCTCTTTCTCCTTTTCCTTCCTCCTCAACAAGACTCTGTTAGAACCCAAGGTTTCCTTTAAATCACAAGTGATTCTGGGTGTGTACCGGAGGAAAAACGGAGTGTGTTTAAGAAGAACCCTCCTTAAGCAGGACAAATTAAAAACCTGACCCCACGGAGGTAGCCAACGAAGCCAGGTGTGCGGCTGGAGGGCACACTGTCTGTGTCCGCTTTCCTCGTTTCTATAGGTACGAAAAAGTGGAAAAGCCTTGAGAACAGAGCAGGACACTAAGATGTCACCAAAAAACCACCACCAAGTAATATCACTGGGGAGCAAGTAAAAATGTTCCTCTCATGCTGACCTGAGTCAGCGGGCCCGTGTCTGGAAGCAGCTCTGTTCCCATCCCCCTCTGGATGCTGGGGAAGCATCAATTATGTAAGCGAGCCTCAACGGGATGACATGTTTACTTACTACATAAACAACAACAAAGACCCAGCCAGGAGGCGGGCAGGGCTCCCTTCGCAAGCAGCCTGGGCAAATTCCCATGATGTCAGACCATCAGATAGAGTTTCCAGGGCAACAACCCAGTAACTGTCCCAGCCACAGACCGGCATGGAAAGTTCAGAAGACAGCTAAGGCCCTGAGCGGCAGGGCACAGGGGAGGGCCCCAAACTAACAAATGCTGGACCCTTCTAGGGTAGACCTCCGCGCGGGCACAGATGTTCCAGAGGTTGGTGTGTGGAGAAAACAGGAAATTTGGTCTTTGCTCTCAGATCTATTTTTTTTAAAAGCTTGCTGACTCTTCCCATTCTGTTCTCTTTGATTAAAAAAAAAAAATCCCCAGTGGAACGAAGTTTTAAAGTAAGGACAGGAATGTCAGAGAGCTGAACATTTCCGGGGCACGGGCGATGAGTTATTCTAACTTGCAGCAACCGTCTGGATCAGAGGCACAGGCTGCTGAACACTCGAGAGCTAAAAAGCCCTACTGTCCGCCGGCTGCGTTTCCGCACCTTTTGAAGTCTGCCTCATTATTCCTTTCTGGTTCTTTCGGAAGTTCTGCCAGAAATACTTATTTTTCTTCTTCCAATCTCCTTTTCCTTGAAAAAAAGACACAAGCAATAAATTCATTAATAACAAAAGTAGCCTCTTCCTTCTACTTCAAAGCTTATAAAATACTTTGATTTCACAAACAGATTTTCTCTTTCAGTTTGTGAAATGACTTGGAAATGCCTATAAAGTCGTTTATAAGAAATGCAAATTTCCTGGTAGCAGTAGGGATATGATGAGAAATAAGAAAACATCAAAAAGGCAGGCAAAACACGCATTCTTATATTCTCTTTGATGTTTAACTAGTATATACAATTCTGCCTTGTCTGGTGGTATATCCCCCACCCCCTTTGGTCTCAGCCACAATTATTTCAAGTAAACCACAAACAGGATACTTTAAGACGTTTACTTTGTTTTGCTGTTATTCATGCTGTCGATCTACCCTGGATTCATTTCTGTTACCCCAGATTTCATGGAGAGAACGGTTGGTACAGCCTGTGCTCACTGGTCCACGGGGCTGGGTCCCGGGCCTGAGGGGTGCCCCACGCCGGTTCCCTAAGGTGCAGAGCTTGCATGCATCTAGCAATGTACGAGGGGGCAGGATTCCAGGTCTCTGGCATCAGGCTACATGGTGACCTTCCCATAGCTCACCCAGGGCACAATGACAAGAAAAGCAGAATACTATCCTGCTGTGACAACTGCCAACAGGGTGGGTCCCCCTCTTTCTCAGACTACGAGTGTCTTTCCAATGAAAACATTGTCATAAGCTAGACATCTTTATCTGGGGGGG